AAATTTGGGGGCCTTAAGAACAATCTTTTTCCGGTATTTAAAATATTTTCTGTAGGTTGCCTCAGATAAATCTGATAGTATTACAGTGTAACTGCAAAATCCTGCTCTTTGGTCCTTATAGACAGGCTCTTCCTGTTGCACCCGATTTGGCTTCCTAGAGGGAAAAGTTTCTCTTGTAGCTTGGGCGGCAAACGCAGTCCATGTGCTCTGGCATGCTGCTGGAGGGGCCAGGAGCCCTGCGTGGGTCGGGGGAGCCGGCCAGCACTGTGCTGATGCTCAACAAGTGCGTGCTCTGCTGAAGGTGAACATGAGCTTGCAAAATGTTGTGCAAACCTTCCTGCCGTTGCTGGGGACCAATTGGATAGAAGCTGGAGAAAGTTTTGGGGTTTTTTAGTAGATGTTGCTGCACATATGTTGGTGTGTCAGGGAAAAAAACTTTTCAGCTGTCTGTGGTGTTAAACCTTAAGGCTGAGGCTTTTTTTTGTTTGTGTGTCTACAGTGGAAGAATCCCATGTCACATTTATTTTGTATCTCATGTTAGAGGTGACATTGTGCTCGGTGCTGAATGAGATGGAGAGGCCGTGCCACACATGGCCTGCGGTGTCAAAAGATGAGCACGGAGCAGAACAGATGCGATAGGAGATTGGGGGGTGGGAGGCTCGACCTTGTGTTCATGTGCTCGATGGCCCCTACCACTTGTGTCTTCACCTGGAGCTCCCCAGGGAAGGGAGGCATCTACTGAGGGAAGGGGCAAGGACCAGCAGAGGGAATTGGGATGCTGTCTGCTGGTGGGAGAAGACTCTGAAGCAGTAAGAAGAGATACTGGGGCTTGGTTGAGAGATCAGATGTCAAACCTTGAACGGCAAGGAACTTCAGTGGGTAAATAGGGAAGAAGGGTGCATGTGTGAACCATGGGAAGGGCGTTGGAGTGATCGGTCGGTAAGCAAAGCTTTTTGCTCTGTGTCAGTGCAATACAGCAGGTCCTGGGCTGTGACGGGAAGCCTTAAGGGATATGGTAATTAAGAAAAGTAACTAAGAACTAAGTCATAAAAATAATAAGTGTTTTACCAGCTCCGTTGTGCATAGGCAGGCAGCAGGGAATGTGGGTCACGCAGTATGAGTGGCTGAGCCAGGAATAAAATCCAGGTCTGTTAATGCCTCAGGCCTCTCAATACGCACCAGACCGTGACTCTTTCCTCCGGCACAGCTTGGGTGGGAAAGGACCTCCATTTTAGGTGGAAGACCAGGCTCCGCTCAGTCCAGCAGCTAATCACGTTCTCCTGTTGTTTGCCTTTGCCAGGTGCAAGTTCTTCAGCCTCACGGAAACCCCAGAGGACTACACCATCATCGTGGATGAAGAGGGCTTCCTAGGTAAGTGTCGGCGTGTGCCACTTCGGTATCCAACCTGGGGGTGGGGGTGGAGGAGGAAAACATGTCATCTCTCGCTGAGATTATAAACCAAAGCGTTTGTAAAACAGGTCTGTGTGTCAGTGCTAGCAGCACAGCTATGAAAGGTGCTTTGATCACTTAAGCATACTGTCTCTGCTGCTGTGCTGTACAAGGCGTTTCACACATGGAATATGAATATATTTTAATGCCAGGAGAAGAGCACGTACAAGTCTTAAAGAGCAGCTTAAGCATATTTGAAAAAGCAAAACCATCTGCATATTATTGTATTAAAATGAGCTGGCCTTTGTCGCCAAACCTCCACAAGCACACCACATCTTGCGTCTCCAGCTTGTTCATCCAACCTCTCTCGTTAAAAGGAGCACTTGAAGATGAGTAGTTCCTATCATCCCCACAACCGTCACAATGCTGTGGAGCTGCGAATCAGCTCCTTTGGCTCATCACTGAAAGTTGTGATTTATCCCCCTTTCTACCCAGCTCTCTCCGTATCAAATGTGCCATCTTTGCCCGTGGTGGCTGATGGTCTCTCTCTGCCCGTGTCAAAGGTGGAGTCGGCTCTGTGTCAGAGAAGCTGGTTAGCGTGTGCTTGGGAGCTGCAGATGCTTGGCATTGGGCGAGTGCTGATGGAGAGAATGGTTTGGCTTTGTGGATGGAAATAGTTTGTAATAACATTTATCATGTGGGGAGGTTTTGTTTGTAGCAGTGTTACTGAGGTGGTGGAATGAGGAAGTATTGTGCAGCTATTATTATTTTTGTTCAATCGCTGCTTTCTGTGGTTGGAATTAGAAGTCTACACATTTTACCAGTTTGGAGAAAATTCATTAAAATACGAAAAAAGAGGATTTCATTCCTGAATAGGCATTAACTGTCGAGTAGCTACTTGTGACACTGTAATACTCAATGGGTTTGTAATATCCAAAACCTAAGGAGAAAATGAGAAACTATACCATCTTTATTTAGTACAGAGTCAAAGTTTTATAATCAGTAGCCATTGCTGAATTATTCCCCTTTCTGTTTCAGGAGCGCTCATAAACATATAATAGAATAAATTATTACGTTTTAGAACACTACAATAGTAGCTAAACGTTTTCATAAAATAATCACTAGGTTGAGAATAGGTGAATGGATCTTTACAGCTATTGCTGTTTGTAATTTGGGAGTTGTAGGGTTTGACTGAAAGTGTATGTCACGTGTTCTGCTTTTGCCTCCCAAAAGAGGAGGTGACGTATGATTCTGCTGCCAGAATGTCCCTTGTTGCATTTTTTCAGGGAGCATATGCATGAAAATCTTATTACTACTATCGGTAGTATCACCTTTTTTATTATCAGTGGTAGCTGGGGGAAGTCGATTCAAATTTGGTTTTGCCATAATGGTATGATGCAAAGCCTGCCTCTTAAGAGCTTCATTTTAAGAGAGAAATCACCAAACGAGGAGAGAAGTTTTTTTTCCAAGGGCCGCAGCACGTGGCAGAGCAAGAAACCCGGAGATTCCCATTCTCAGGAGGGAGTCTGTGTCACTGAACCGTGCTGTCCCTGCAGATGTGTCACGCTAGGGGCATGCTCATCTCCAGCATCACATCTGTGTCTGTGATATCCATGGCACTCACTTCTCTGCCCAGTTGGCACAGGGCAGATTCCTCAGTTCAATCACTGGTGGCAAGTTTGGATTGCAACCACCCCCACACAGCCTCTAGCAGCCACGCTGCTATTTATCTCTCTGGAAATTATTCCAGCTTGAAACAAAGGTAAGCTCAAGCAGTGGTTTTGCTCCTCAGTAGTGGGGGGGTTGTGTTGCACTGTGTATGCCACCGGTTGTACTTGGAGCAAATCCCAGGTCTAGCCGGACCAGCGTCCTCGAGGAGCTGCATGTCCCACTGGTGCCCCGGGTTATCTCTGTGAACCAGACAGTGCTGCTGCACTTCAAAGCAGCGGTCCTCTCTGCTTGGACCCCTTTGACTTTGTTACCTTGGCTCTCATACACACATGAATTTACTGCTGGTAGTTACAGTACCCATGTAGCTTCTGTTGGGCTATGGTTTTGGCAGCATGTAACATCCCTTTTTTTCAAATACACCGCGTGCAGTTGGGGTGTTAAAGCAGGGCTTTGCAGGAGAAAAGATCCCCTTCCGGGCAACGCAGGGGATGGAAGGAGCATGCTAAGGCCATCCTCTACTATGGCATGGCATGGAAACCAGGTGCAAAACCCAGCACGGGTAGTAGTGTCACGGAGCTGGCAGCTTCATCACTAATTCTTTGCTCTTTGCTAGTAAGTGATGGTCTGCTGAACAAGACCCGTATGCTCTCCATCCTCCTAACTGTCCTGACACAACCCCCGCGCCTTTCGGGTTCGTGTCCAGCCTGTGCTCTTCTTTCTGAACTGTCACCACCTCAGGGTTAGCCCTGACCGCGATCTCCACTGTTGCTCCATCCCTGTTCCTCATTTCCATATGCCGTAAGTTTTTCACGGCCTGGAGGAATTCAGGATCTACCATCTAGGATGCCTTGTAACAGGGAAAGGGCGCTGCTTCACTCCCTGCTTCCCCTCACAGCCTGGCTATAAATGTCTCAGGAGGAGGAGTCTCACTTGGCCTTTGTACAGAGTGTAATCAGCCCGTGGACCTGAACAGGATCAAAATCTGTATGAATTGCAGCATCCCACCTTCTTCCAAAACAGCACCAATCGTGTCTGCCTCGAGTGGATCAGCTGCTTCTTGACCTGATTAGCCAAGTGCCAGGTTCAGCTCAAGAATTACAGGGTAAATTTTCACCTTTGTTGAGCAGTTTAGGTAGCAAGTCCAGCAGCAAGAAGTGACTTTTCTTCTCTCTCCAGGTAACTTTTGTTCTTCCAGTGCTTAACAAACGAGAGGTAAGTCTCTGAAGGGCAGGCTTTTCTGTGTGGAAAGTTAGGGCCTTTCTTTCTCAGGCACCTATATGAATTTTTGCTGCAGCAGCAGTGAGAAGATTGTCCTCTTAGCTGGCATCTCTCAAGTTAGCCAGGCCTCTTCTCCTGCATATCACAAACAGCACTGAAGGGAAAAGAAATAGGCTGGAGAAATACTGGCACTTTCAGCAATCCTTGAGGTTAACACTTCAAACATACTGACATGCAGTAATCATTCTTAACTGTTTTGTCAAAAAATAATCCTCAGGCTTGTTTCCCTGAGAGTAGCGAGTGAGTCGGGCTGGTAAAGAACTCATTATTTCTTCTCCCCAGAAAATGTCTGCAGTGCAAAGCCGTAACCTGCTTAAGCATTCATCATTCTGGAAGGGAACGGCTACAGCCTAATTCTTTGCTTTAATTCCCTGGCGGTGAGGTGGGGATTATATCTGCACAGAACCTTGTTTGTTCCAGTGGCCGTTTCTTGGGCTTTGGCCTGTTAATGAGGAAGAATTTTATTCAGCAAATAACACAGGGGGACAGCGCGCAGAAAGCTCTTTTCCTGGCTGATACTGAGATGAATTAGCAGGAGGAGTTTGGCCATGGGCCTTCCTGCATGAAGACAAGTGTCTCAGCTACTGGGGTGCTTGGACAGCCATGTAAAATCCTTGCATTTATCACCTGCTGGGCAGCCAGCACGTGGCAGAAAAGTCGAGCGGCTGCTGCTCCCTGAAATATAGCAATATTTGTTTGAGTTTGGTTTGGTTTTTTTCCCCAAGGTTTGGCTGAAAGCAGGAGCTGCCTGTGCGTGGTGCAGATATGCCGTAGCCCCTATGCTCTCCGCATAGCCTGTCCCTTTTTCAAAGGGCAGCAAGGACAGACTCCCTCCGTCTCTGGGCAGCTGCATCAGCAGAGCTTTTAGCCTGTGGTCTCGCTGGTCCCAGTAGTCTCTGTTCATCAAAGGTTTTAGCTTTCACACACTGGAAGGAAAGCACATGCCAGCACACCTGGAGATAGCCATGCTCTCGGAAACCCTCTTTATGTGCACCGGGAAGCAGTTGCTAACATTGCAATCCTGTCCTGGAAGTGCCATCTGAATAAAATAATGGGATTTGGGGGCAGCAACGTTCCTCCAGTGGCACTCCCAACAGCTGTCACGTCGCGGCTTCTGTACCATATATCCAGAGAGACTTTTATTGGAGGTAAAGGGGCAGTTTGGGTGTTTGGTTTGTTTTAATTGTCCCTTTTCTGTTCCTGGTTTCTCCAGCTGGTTTGTCTGCAGTCCTATTCATCCTGTTTTCTCTTGAAAGTCCACTACTAGGTTTAGCGATAGCTCTGCTTGGGTAGCTTTCAGTGAAATGCCATCCATCTAGCCTCCCATTTTACAGCACTTCTCTAACTGCACAGCACAGTGTGAAATGAAGAACTAACACTCTCCCTCAACCACCTTTATTCTCTACAAGCCTGATGAAGGAAGAGCCCATCTAGGGTCATCTATGTCAGCTGGTCCAATTGCATGGAGGTGAGAGATGGCTACAGTTTACCCTCAGATATTTCTTTGTTTCAGTATCTGTTGCATCCACTTGAAACGAAGACGAACTCTTTGATAAGGACCTTCCCAGAATCACCGCCACCGGGACCTGGCTATGTGCTAAGGGAAAAGGAGCTCCTCTGTACTATCATTCCTATGGCAAGATAGTCTCTTTGCACCTAGAAGGCAACAAGTTCTCCTTTTTGAGTTTATGTCTATTTATGCTGGAAAAAGAGGAGTCTCCCTTTTTGAGACCTCTTACAGGGCAGTGGATGGAGTTTGAAGGCTTCTTTCTCCATTTGGGGGACAACCTCTAGCCTGTTGCTGCCCTGCCCTGGCCTCCTCTGTGATCTTGGCAGCTGTTGAGTTGCTCCATGAACATCTGCATAAATGGCGTCTGTGACAGCCTGTCACCCAGGTGAAGCTGTCCTGAAGATGGAAGATTGTAAAGCAACAAGTGGCTACCATTTCCAAGGCGAGATGACTGCCTTCCCAGCCTTGGCATTTGGTTGGTGTCCCTTCCGTGCAATCTTTCTCTGTAGGCAGTGAACTTAAA